CAAAAAAGTGGGTCAGCCCGGCCTGACTCATCAAGTTTTAAAGTCTGTATGATTTAGCCCGGATGAAATGGGCCAGCCCATATTGACAGTAGTAAGCGCAAAACAAATTCCTCCTTAAAAAATTAGGTTAAATCTAATTTAGTTAAAGATATTGAAAAAATTGAACAACGATAAATATAAATTGTCAAGTAGAAAAAATACATTAAACTTAAATATTTAAAAAATAAATTTCATGACTTATAACTCTCTTTATTTTGCATGCATTAGTGGAGTTATATTAAGCCATAGTAGAATGAAAAAGTTGACTTCGTGTGATCTAAAGATCACGAGTTAAAATTATGAAATCAACTATTGATATTTTATATTGATATGAATTGTTGAAGTTATCTTCGACGATCTATAGTCACATATTTGAACTAGAGTCTATCATTTACGCATGCGTTAGAGTAGGCTGATAAAATTAACTTGATATGATTTATAGGTCACAAATTTAAATCGTTGAATCAAGTAATGGTTATGTCAGGGTATGCAAAATTTGCTTTAAGTAATTTATAGGTCACCAAATTCAAACAGTGAAATTAACTACTATTGCTTGTGTTGGCTAAATTAGTCCTTTATGATGTATCTTTTTCTTTTTGGATTAGCATAAATGAAGTACATTTATAAATTGACTACTTTTTAATTTATTAATAGTATTTAAATTTGATTTTATGATTTGAACAGAAAAAATAGTATCACTATTCTTATCATTGCTACAATTATTGTTGTAGAGATAAATCAAGTTCCTAAAAGGTATCGAGAAAAATTTGTTTATATATTTGACAGAGTGAAGTTATAACTATCAACATAGGTTGTGGTGCATGGTGTGATTGATTCACCGTTAACCAGAGGTCTCTGGTTTGAGTCCTGGATATGGAGAAAATCTTGTTAGAAGCGTGATCCCCGAATGGGTCCTGCATTGCACAATTCAAATTTAATCGGAGATCCAATATGGGCTCCGAACACCAAATAGGAAACAAAAAATAAAATAAAGCTATAATCATGATGAAATTAGTAGAGAATATGATGGGGAAAAAATTCTATACAAATGCACATTGTAAGTATAGAGTTATGGAAGATTTTGAGAATCAATATATGTGAATGTAATATTCGTTAGATGAGCTGATGGAAATATTTATTTAATTTTTTGTATGACATTTATTTGATTGTGATTTGTGATATTTGCTTCTTTGAAAAAGTAAAAGAAAAACATGTTGAATTTATTCATGTATAATTCAATATTGAGTAACTTCACTTTGTAAGTTTTGTTAAAAGTAAAATTATAAATGTTCCTATTCTTGAAAATATTTTTTCCCTTGCTTTTTAGAAACAAAATCACTATCAAAACATTAGTGATATATTTACAAATCAAAATAGTCTAAAATATAATTAATAAAACAAGAAAATATATTTGTAAAATAACAAAGCACGAAAACTAAACCTAATCTAGGAATCCACTTTTGTCTATTTTAAAAATTTTTGACTTACAAATTTTTTCGCTATCGATCAAATGTCTGTGAAGAAAATTTCAGGAAGTACTTATAAGACAAAGATTCTTGAAATAGTTCAATCTTTAACAATAAATTTTAAACTATATTTAGCTATTTCAATTAAAGACAACAATTTTTAAAAAAAAATCAGACGAATATCGGGTAACACCTCATAAAATTATACGCTAAAGAATTGAATCATTCATCGTAAGTGTATCAGCTTGGACTGAGTGATGTCTTACTTGTTTATGTGTGTTAAGGACCATTTCCAAGTGTAAGAATTATATCGGCTGTGATTTAGGGTCATATGAGACCTCTAGCACTAAGTCGAATTCATAACCTTCCTACCAGCTAAGTTTGCGTATGAGTTCATGCAAGTGTCAGCTTAAAGAATTGGGTGGTCTATCACCTATCAAATTAAAGGTCTATGAGTCTTCTTTCCAATGTTACCGAGATTGCATCAATCTAAATTTGGAGTAAAACGTTATGTCTGTTTTACTTGAGACAATTCCAATAGAATTTTTCAGGACCTGAGTTTTACGGGTCCAATCTACAACTCGTGAATCAATTGACGGACTATAAATTGAGCTCGTGAAATGAAATTTTGAAAAAATTTCAATCTGCTTATCACAGATCATAAATATGCTCGTAGAATGAACTTCTAAGACCTAATTTAGCCTGAATTCCACGGGTGGAATCTACGAGCTGTAGATCAAACCACAATTCGTAGATGGTCCCATGAAATGTTCCGATAGATTTTCAGTCAAGATTATTTTGATAATTTTCCACTTTTTTTATTCCTAAATCACGATGTTGTGGCTTATCCTAAGTGGAATTAAGATAAAACTAGTCAACAAAACCTCCCCATTCACGTCTAACACCAAGAAAATCAAATTCAATGCATTTTAAGTTCTCTCAAGCAAGAAACTGCGTTCTTCATCTTCAAGCTTTAGTTCAAGTATTCAAGCTAGGGTTTCCATTCCAAGTATGTGATATTTCATCAATGGGCTCCCTTTTCACCCATTGAGTCCCAAAGAAAACCTTATTTCTTCAGTTAATGATTCTACAGAGTTTAGCGTTCCTATGAAAAACATGGTTTTCGTCATATTTTAGTTCTTCTTCATGGATAGTTTTTTATTACATGATCTTACTTACAAAATTCAGTATAAATGCATAGTTATTTCCATATTGAGGCCTTAATTTAAGAGAAATTTATATCTTTGAACCCGTGATAATCAGATTGCATGTTTTATTTGAAATACAGAAAATCACCAAGATTAGTTTACTACTCACTTTTCAGTCTCATGTATATCAAATGTTTTCAAATAAAGTGTGTCAGTTCATTATAAGTTAACAATATTTATATGAGTTATTCAGTTTACCAGTATTATTCAATTTATCAGTTTAAATTCAGTTGGAAAGATTATTTAGCACCGAACGGATATAAGGATAAAAGCTCACACGTCAGTTTAGGACTCAGACCTTTAATAACAATCTCTAAATTCTAGAACTACGTATCATTGTAGGTTAAAGGTCACCACCAAATCAGAACTGACTCTTTAGTTCTTTTGGACATCAGTTTAGTGAAATCACGTCATTAGTGTTCTTACTCTTGGTAGGATACAAAACTCCCTCCTAGTTGAGATACATGTTGGACTCCATTTAGCTCAATTGAGTATGTCAGTTGTTGGTATCTCCCATAATCCACCTTTTAGATTATTACATTGACCTTGCATTCAATTATTTTAGTTTGAGTATGTACCAGTTGCATGTTTTACCATTTTGTATTGCATCAATTCATGTATTTCAATTTCATGTTCAGTTCAGCATCTCAAATTGATCATGTTTAATTATTAAAATTGTGATGCATGTCTCACATACTCAGTACATTCAAAGTACTGACCATATACACGTTTACGCTGTATTGTTTAATAATATAGGTTTATATGCTCGGTATCCAACTCACGGTTAGTACTATTCCGTATCATTTTAGCAATAGAGTTTGGTGAGTCTTCATTTTTTAAGGATATTCTTTATATTTATTTCAGCTATTTAGTATTTCAATTTTCAGAAAATTGGAGTTAGTTGGGGGTTGTCCCAACAACTCATCTTAGTAAAGGCTTTCACACAGTCAAATAATAGATTCAACTTATGCTTTATTTAGATGTTCCGTTTAGTGCTTTAAATTTAATAAACTATTCAGATTCAGTTTTTGCATATATATATATATATATATATATCAATGGCATGCCAGGCCATAGGATAGCTTGAGATCAGTTATAACCTTAAGCATCATGTTACGATTAGGAGATAATCTCTGATCGTTATATATCTTCTCAATAGAATGAACATATAATAATGTTGATACTACACATCAAAAAGTTTTTCAATTTGATCCTCCTTAGTTCAATCTCTAGAAAAATATAAGTTGGTTATTAACTTGATTTATAATCTTAATTAAGTGACTAATGAGCGTTTTTGAAGTTTCAACTATTCATCATATATTATTTGTGTTATTTGAATCTGTCACCTGATTCTTAAACTTGAAATTTGAGCATTCTCCATATTAAGAATCTTTCTTTGTGCAGATGTTAATTCCTGAAATGAAGAAATGTGCAAGGTATCTGCACATTCAAAAGTTAGATTAGTTAAAAATTTGTCATCACATTACTTTCTTTGTATACATGCTCTATTGTATTATTGCCTCCTCTTCTCAATCTGTATACATGGTCCATTGTATCATTGTCTCCTTTTCTCAATTTGTTCACGTTATTGACAATCGATACAATCTCTCAAGATATTTTCCAAATCTCATTCAATATTTTCTCCAGGTCAATGAATTAGGTTGTAGGATCATTTGCAATAAATAAGGATTTATATAATAGGTCGCTTCTTCTCTAATAACCATAGTCTCTGCCACTAAATCTAACTCACTAAATCCTTCTAACTTAATGAGAAATAAATAGTTTGAATTATTCACAAGAAATATGAATGTAATAATGAAAATAACTTAAGATCAAGAGAAACACAAATCTTATCGCCTAGTTTTGATTGTGCATCCTTTTCCGCGCTTGATTTGTACTGAGATATACTAAATTCGTAAAATGCTTCTGGCTTAACCATTCTACGTACCACTTGCTGCAATCCTACCGTGAAAAAGAATGATAATTTAGACACAACAACTAATTACACAAAATCTTACGATAATTTAAGAGGAGGAAATAATTTCCCTTCTCGGTGAATTTTTAATCAAATAATATAAACTTCACAATTTATAAAATAATAAAAAATTTAATATGATCAAGCAAATAAGAAAGTATTTCTTCATGATTTTTTTTCCCAACCATAATGTATTGTTTTTTTGTCCTCAGTAACAAAGTGATCTCAAATTCAGAAAATTAATTGAAAAATATAGAGAGAGAAGAGGAACGTGTAATAAAGAAGAGAAGAACAGAAGCGAACAAGCAAAGCAAAACCATAACTTCTTCCAATTCCATTTTTTTGCTCAAGAATTCTCTTACCCTTTTGATTATTTTGCTCTCCAATCTAGATGTGTGTCAAATTTCAATTTTATTGAACTTTTTTTTTGGTTTTTGGGTGTATATAAATCTTATTTTCCATCTTTTTGTGCCCAAAAGGATGCTTCAATTCTTGCATTTTCCGCCTGGTATGGCACCAAGATTGAATTTTTAAGGTATTAGAGCAAGGATAGAGGAAATAGGGAAAACCCCAGAAAAGTTCTGGTGAGAAAAATGATGGAAGGTACAAAATTATACTTTTACCTTATTTCTGTTACAGATCAAAAATCAGATGTAATTCTGTGTACTTTTCACCACTCTGTTGGAGATGGGTTTTAGAAATTTTTGGTTTTATGTGCTGTTTTAAGTCAGTCTCTGCATTGTTATGAGTTTAAAGATTCTGTTGTTTCTGTAGGTTTCAGTTTTGTGACAGTGGGGTTTAGATGTTATCTTTGTGTGATCAGGTGCTGTTGTTGTGTGTGTGTGTGGGGGGGGGGGGGGGGGGGGGGGGGGGAGGGAGGATGCACATATTTTTGCAAGTAATTAAGCTTTGATGTTCTTTTTGGTTGTGTGGTAGATAATGTTGGTAGCTATTAGTTGATGGGGTGTAAATATTGTAAACCATGCTTCATGACTGAAGAAAATAATTAAATTAGTTATAATGTTAGTGAGCTGAATGGGCATAGGGGATTCACTCAACCAAACTCAACTGATTTGGGATTGTTGATTGATGGTTGATTACTAATAGTTCCAGAGGATCAAGTGAATTGGGTAATGCGCTAGATTGAATACTTTGAGATTTTATGTGCAATTTAGTTGTTTTGCGTTTTTATCTTTGTGTGTGTTTTTCAGGATTGGGGGTGTGTGCGGAATTGGAGAGTTTCCCTTGTATATGGATTAACTTATTTGTAATATGATATTTGCAATGTCCTGACGATGGAAGTGTTGATTGATTATGATGATGTGGAATGATTGAATTTGGACTTGGGAGATAACTAAGATTTATATACATAAAAATGATTGATGTGATGTTCCACTACAACGGTACATGCATAGCAGGATGGCATTCGGAGAACTTTAAGTGGTTGAAACTTGAGGTGGTGATGGCCAAGATTACATTTTTTTTTCTTTGTATGCTAGGTGCATGAAGATCACTGGGTATCGATATGCAGCATATTTGCATTGGGAAATACCCTCTTTCCATTCATTATCCATCGAATGAAAATTGTTTTCCTACTTTAGTCTCTAAATATGCAATAAAAGAAAGGAAGATCTTGAGGTGGGTATATAGTCAGTGCAACTATGAAATCTATGTTATTCCTATTCCACGAGTTCTTTTATCCCGTGTTCTTTAGTTGGCGTTTTTGTTGCCTCTAATGAAATGAATTCTCTAGGTTTAGGCAGTGGTGGCCAAGTGAAGTTTATTTATTGTACATGGAGAATCTGATTTCAACAAGTCTCATTTGTTCTTCATAGGATGTAGAGCTGTCTGCAACAGCTGGCAGTTGTGGGAATCATTTAATGATATTCTGTAGGGAACTATGGTGTACCTTCATGTTAAGATGGTCTTTTGAAGAAAAAGGGTCATTTTGAATTACTTGTCCTGATAGGACGGGGAAAGTATGACTATGGTTAGTTCAGATGAGATAGGGAGGAGTACTCTTGTTCTGTCTATTATATGGTTTTCTTAACAACAAAAAGTTCATTTTGAAGTAGAAGCCGTTATTTTTGGAACTGTGGATAGTCCTTATTTCCAGCTTATAGTTAAGTTGTTGACGCTGTTAATCTTTTGCAGATTTAAGCGAAGTGCATTCTAAGGATGATAAAGGTCAGCCTGAGAAAAACCACAAAAGAATAATCAAGACACGTGCTCAGATTGAAGCTCTAGAGAAACTTTATGAAGGTAATTGATCGTACATACTATTTTTTTTTGTTTTGCAATGAGCTAGAACATCATATCTATTGTTTCAGACTTAGAAATAAGAGAAAACATGTAAATTTTCAGAACACAAGTACCCTACCGACGAGCTGAAAGCTGATCTGGCAGAGTCATCAGGGTTAACAGAAAAACAAATTTCTGGATGGTTTTGTCACAGGCGGTTGAAGGACAAGAGGCTGTCGAATGGGGAAATATATATAAATGGAAGACAAGATCGTTCGAGTGGTGTCATTCAGGATCATGGTAGCGGATTTAGGCAGGATTCTTGTGGTAGCACCAAGCAAGCAGACGATAAGAAATTTGATCATCGGGAAGTTGAGAGTAGAAGATTAACTGGCGCAGAATTCTCAACTGCAGATGTGGCATATGAGGCTGGAACTCATTTTAGAGGAAAGTCTAATTGCATGGATGATGACTCTGCAAGAAGCAGTTCTTCATTACGGAATGAATGTTTTTCGCAAAATGCAGAACCATATGATATAGCAACTTCAAGATACATATCGCAGAATTTACCTACTAATTTTAAGGGAGTAAAACCAAAGAATGGCCCATCTGGGTATTTGAAAGTAAAGGGTCAGGTAGAGAATGCTGCAATTACTGCTGTGAAGAGGCAATTGGGGAGGCACTACCGACTGGATGGTCCACCACTTGGTATTGAATTTGATCCACTTCCTCCTGGTGCATTTGAATCATCAGCGCCAAATCCTGTCAATGGTGAGGTCAAATGTTTTTTTTTTATTGTCCTATTATTTAAATCCAAGATATGCCTGTCTGGAACTGCTCTTGTTAAGATGTTTTTTTCTTCTTCTTTGTTATGCTCAGTTCTTATTCATCCTAACTGCTTAACTGAGTAGTAAACTCTTCATCTCATAGCATATCCCACTGTACCCCTAAAATCTTCAAAAACATTGTCTAGATCTTCCAGGTAAACTCACAGTGAAGAAGCATATGGTTAGGAGACTCTCCTGCTCTTTTACACAAAAAAACATATGCAGCACAGATGAAATCCCGCCTTCTGCAATAATTCTTGTGTTAGACATGCAATTTTTGTAGCCACCCATCCAAAACAAGCAACCTTTTGTAGGTGCCTTGATCTTCCAAAGCATCTTCCGTGGCCATTCCACTTCCCAATAGTCACTCTTTTCCAGCAGCATACCGTTACCTTTTCTCTATTCCATCTTGGGGAGGCTTACTTGCTGTCACCCGAAGTATAAGATTCCAATGAATTTTGCAACTGGCTGACTTCATTACTTTCCCAAGTCATTGAAATGTCTTTAAAATTCAACTTCCATCAATTTCTTGCAAAACAATCATTGCACAAACCGTTTTTGTCAATTGTTAAATTGTACAAAGTAGGGAACTTTGAAGTCTGAAGAAGGAAAACGAAATATAGGAAGAAGAAGTCTGAAGAAGAAAAAAAAGAAATACGTATTGGTTGGACTTTGGAGTCGCCAGAAAAGTCTAACAGTTCACCGGAGAAGTCTAGCCGAGTCAACTTGTTGGAGTCGCAGTCTAAGAGTGCAACTGGGTAAATTTGGAAAGAAACCCTAAAATTACCTTTTTATTTATAAAATCCTAAATTGGTTGCCTTTTTTTTAAGAAAATACAAAAGGCGACACCTTTATCACCATTGTCGCCATGGCATCGCCTTTTGAAGATCGCCTCGCCACAAAGCTAATAGGCGATGAAGGGTCTCTTTGCCTCTCGCCATTGGTGAAGAGGTGATCGCCTTTCACAACACTGTGACTTAACCAGTGTTGTGAAAGGTGATTGCCTCGTCGCCAATTGTGAGAGGCAAGGCAACCATTCATCGCCTTTTAGCTTTGTGGTGAGGCGATCTTCAAAAGGCGCACCATGGCGATAATGGTGAGAAAGGCGTTGCCTTTTGTATTTTTTTAAAAAGAGGTGACCAATTTAGGATTCTAAAAGTTAAAAGGTAATTTTAGGGTTTTCTTTTCAAATTTGCACAGTTGCACTCTTAGACTTTTAGTATGTACTATCTATTTTCAGTTTTTTGAATTGAAATATTTGCTATTGAGATTTTGATTATTTATTTATGCAATCAAGTATTTAAATTTTTTGGTATTAATTGGCGCCACACTTCAAAAAGGCGAGCGCCTCACCTCGTTGCAAGGCAGACTTTTGTCACCTTTCGCTGTCCAAAACACTGGACTCAACCTGTTTTTTTTTATCAAGTAATAACATTTTATTACCAATGGGCAAAAATTACCATATAAAACTTACAAGTGGTATACAAAACGGAGATAACCTCACAAATAAAATATTACCGTGGTGTATGACATTGACGAAGTAGTCAACCTTGATTCTGTATTTATAATAAGAGTTATGAGGGATCTTCATGCTGAATGTCAAGCTCTATTAGTATGTCCAGTATCACCTCAATTCTGGGTTATGTATATATCCTTTGGTGTTACATTACTTTTTTGTACGTCTGAAAAATGGATACTCAAAGTGTAACTTAGTTTCCTGATACAAAGTTTTGCTCACTGGTATTGTCATATGAATGTTTCTCAGACTCTTATTACTCTCCAGAACCTGTTCCAGCTTGCTCACCAGATATGTCCAACGTCTACAGGCGGTCAAATGTAAGTGGATCTTGCCACATTCCTCTTTATCGGTTTGGTATACCTCGATTTAGTAATTGCAAAACCATGCATATTGCACATTTGCACAAGAATGATTAAATTTTCTGCAACTAGATCAAAGCTAGAATTTAGACGATATTTTAACCCTTCCCTACCTGCCAACAAGGCGAAGGAGCTAAGGAAGTGCTATGTTTAGAACTGTGCTATAACCAAACTGCACAAATTGGTATATATTAATGTTAACTGTACTTCAAACCATTGTGTGATATGGAACTTCGAAACTTATTTGAAGTTTGTAGACTTCTTTGGTAAATCCTTAAATTGTGCAATCCACAGTAACCTTTCTTTAAAAAAACAAAACCTTAGATGGTGCATCTTAGGTTGACTAGAGTGCCCTTTTGATTACTGATATGGAGGGCAAAAATTACTGATTTCTTATTACCTCACAAAAGCTTGTTCAAATTCAATAATATTTTCTTGCCTTGTGTCTTCGTTGAATTACAGTGCATTATGGTTTGATTATTGGCCCAAAGTTTCTAACTTTACCAAAAGAAAATATCCTAAAACGTGTGCATACATGTACAGGAGATAACTATCTCTTGTATGTACATGCATCTCTGAATGCTTATTAATGAAGTATCTTACTTCATCCAAAAAAAAAAGGTTACTAAAAGAACAGTTGCTTCATTAAATAATACTCCTCAATTTTCCTTCATTTTGTTGGAATTTCTAGAATTTTTCTTCCTTTTGTCCATGAAGACTTGTTTCAACTGGATTATGAGATACCATATTGAATCTTCCTTTTCACGGTAAAACTATTCTAAATTCACAGGGATTAATATCTTCAGATAAAGATGGTGATAGCAGCGAACTTATCAATTTAAGGATTGTTATAGCAACGGAAACTTTTTCAAAGGAATGGAGTTTCTAAAGGCTGTTTCATTGTGTCGATTTCTTTTAAATGTTATAATTATGCTCTTTCTGATAAATAGTATAATACACTTCTAAAGAAATAGCAAAACTAGTCACTCTCTTAGAATAATGATGCTTTTTGAGGGACTTACCAGTACTCTGTCTAAATTACCAGCTTAGGTTCTTTATATCATGACCGACTAGAGGTGTCAAAATTGGCCCAAAAAACTTGACCCACCCATTTGCTTAACTTAGCCCATTTTGACCGGCCCAATTCAGCCCATATAAAACTGGGCTGATTTTTAGCTCAAATTGATTCATGAGTGACTTTGTCTAAAGTTTTGAAAATCAAACATATTATATATAGCTAATAGCCCTAACAAAAGCAAAAGTCTTATTCGGTAATTGAACAATTCTCAAGGAAACAAATAAATTAATTAAAACTTAAGTTAGAATTGGGTGGGTTGGGCTATGGCCCAGATTTTAGCCCATCTCAGCCCAAATAACTTTTGACCACCCCATTTATTAGCTCAGCCCATTTTGACCCACTGAGAATCAGCCCAACCCACCCATTTGACACTCCTATGACTAACCATCTCCAAAGATGGTGGAATTACTGTCCTACAATAAAAATTAGTAATTAACACAAACTTTACCAAAGTAAAGTAAGGTTTGGTAGCCTGCTTGAGTTCTGTTGATTAGTTTTGAAGCAGCTCTCTGTCACGAGAATCAACACATTTGGGGTTCGAAAGGTTGTTTTCACTAATCAAGAGAATTCCTATAGAAAGGTGTTCTGTGACTACCCCAGTGATTTCATTAATCACATTAGTACCTTCCTTGGAGATCAAAAATTAAGTCTGGAGTAATCTGTCTTGGGAATAAAAATTGGTAGTTCTATATGTATTTTGTTTAATTTTTCTAATGTGATACATCTTTATCTACAAGGGCCCAGATTAGGATGGACTGCTTTACTTGCTTTTCGTGGCCGCTCATCTTACCAAGTTCCCATATATTACATCTTACTATCTAAACCAAAGCACTCTTGATGTCTTGTTTCTTGAATTATACATATTTTGCTATTGCATTTCCCCATCAGGGATTCGGACCCAATTCCAAGTCCAACTCTCATGACTCTGATCTGGATGGTTTGAGCTTCAAAAGAAAATCCAATTCCACTCATCCTGAATATCGCTTCAACCCAAAGCCTAAGCTGAAGTCCTCTGAGCAAAATGAATATCCTGAATGGAACTCATCATTAGACATCTATGAAGGTTCTGCAAGAAAAATGACAGTTGATAGCAAAGACAGCTGTAAGTTTATGGCAAAACATGGACGTGGAGAGATTAGAACTAGTACTGGTTCAGGCAATGGTCTTCGAAGTCCCTATGTTGGAAAAGTTGATGGGGAGCAAGTGAAACCTCGATTTAGTAGCCGTAGTGAAGTGAGTCTTGCGGCTTTGGAGAAGGAACATTTAGATCGCAAGCCTTCTGATTTTAAGGGAAGCGAGTATCATAATTTCAGGGAGAGAGAGCTTCACAAAATTGTTGAAAAGGTATAGTACCAGTTTCGCTTTATCCTATGTTGTTCTGTGGTCCCGCCAAATCCTGATACGTTTTCTTGAAATGATATATAGGACCACATCAGCGGAAAGAGGCCAGTAGTTGATGAGAACTCTAATCTAGTTCGTGTGAAGGTTCAGGTTCCTCGACACAATGAGATAACAGTAAGTTTTTTGCTTTTTGTTAATACATGCAACTTCCTTTTGGTTTTATACATGGTTATGAATTCCATAAACCCAACTTTTATTAAAGGTTGTTCAACGAGCACCGAATGAAGTTCCTGACCATCAAGAGTACTTGAGGAGAGCATCTATGATAGGAATGCCACTGCAGACAAATCATCAGATAAGGTTTGGCCAACTTAAAGAACTTGATTTTACACAACCTAGTACTTGTTAACCTGCCTATGTATTTTAACATGATTATTTAATAGGATTTTTGGAATATGGCTCTACTTTGAGATGATCATGTGACTAAATGTCATGACTATTGAGAATCATATTTATCCCTTGAATGACTTCTATTAGAACTGATGCAAGACCTTCATTGGTTAATTTGGCTACATCACTAGAAGATTGATCATAAAACAAAGCACAGATTAATATTTTCTTGTACCATGTGCATTATTTCCTTCCATGTGCATTATTTCCTTGGGTAGTTACTATGATGTCATGTTATCTGAGGCTTTCTACCTGCTCTGAAAAATTTAAAAAGCAACGCATTATTTGGTTGTCCTCGTCTTATTAAAGCTGAGTTATTATGTTATTCATTATGGTTAGTAATGACTCTGATTGTGTTTTCTGTAGTACTGCTGCAGAGAAGCCACCTAGCTTTAGTGAAGATGAAGAAACAGAAGACACCAGTTCGTTCGAGGGTTAAAAGATTTGCTTTTGACTGAAGAAAAGAAACAGGTCCATTAGTTTTAGGGATATTTCGTTGGATTTCTGTGTCGATACAACTCCTACAGTTCAAGATAACTTAAATTGACTTGTCTGTACTCCCAACATGTGAGGAGATCTTTCAGTGCTTGTATAGGATAAAGTATTTGTATCCCATTTTGTTAGCTTGATGCTGAAATAGGAATACTGTGATTAATATATGTTGTCTTTTAGCTTAAAAGTAAGGCACTTCCATTATACAGAAGACGACCTTTTCGCGATTTGTGCATGTTATCTTTGTGCACAGGCCATGCTTATCCACTCTGTACCATGCCAATTTTATTGGATGTCCCCAAAGGGACATATACAGAAGAGCAGAGTTATCATATGAATGTATTACTTTTCAAAGTGATCAAGAAACTGATTGCACCAGTGTTCTTCTTTGGTCAAGTAGTTGTTCTGGGATCTGATTTGCTATCAGTTTTTGGAGGCAACAATTTGAGGTAGTTTATACAGTATATAGAGAGATTGCCATCCCGGAATTTTCCTTTCGTTGTTTGGCTGTTGCTTCTTCTTATAGCACTGGACATTACTTTAGAGGTGATTTCCGATCATTTTGTTGCAACATCTGAGTAAGCTGACCTGTTGTATAAAAAGATTGTGAATTTTAGCAACTAATAGAGAAGTTGCAATAATTATTATAGTTGCTGCAACAGTTAACCTAATTGTTGCAAACAATTGTGGATGTTAGATAACTTCATTAGTTTGTAATAACCACTACAATGAATTCAACAACTATTGGAGTTGTTGGACAGCTTTTACATATTTTGGATGAAATTGAGACAAAAATTGAACTTGAACTTGTGTTCATAACTTTACTGAGTTGCTATGAATTCAAGTTCAATAATACATCCCTCACCTATGTGTCCGGATGTCTGTTGATGTATTCGGAAGTCCAGTAATATATTCAGATCACCTCTCTGATACATTCTTCCCCTCTCGGACATATCTCTCACCGATGTATCAGAAGGTCCAGTAAGGTATCCAAAATCCATAAATTTTAAGGGATTTTTGTAATTTTTAAAAAAATAGAGAAATAATGTAACTAGCTCTTAACATTATGAAATTTATGTAAATTATATATTAAAAAAATCATGTTAGTTTGCGGACTTATTTTAATGATGAAAGCTAAACACATTTTAGGGGTATACATATATATATATAGGCTTCAACGAACAATATTTTGATCATTTGATTGATTTTATCCCCAAATAACTAATTCTAGGGATTATTGTGCCACCTAGGTATAAAAAAAACAGTATCAAAACTATGGTATTATTAATCTTGATATTGTTTATACCAAAAAAAAATAAAAAAATCCAACCAAATATAGGATTGAATAATCCCAAATTTTTTACGTTTGTATAATCAAATTTTATCCTAGAATTGTTATTCTTTCTCCGAGGAAATAAACAAGCCCTAAAGGATTGATGTACAACATTAAAAGCATTTTTACTAAGTGCAAAACTAATAGAACTAGAAAACGAGAATAAACAATACTTAGACGGTAAACACTTGGTGCATATAAATATTTATTATTTTGGGCTCAGATCTCCTTCAAGTTCGTCAAATCCGAAAACTTTAAAAGGCATTTTACAATCAAAATTAGGCCATCATAAAATAAAATAGATTGAGATTTTTAGCACTATAATTTCACTAAAGCTTTAATAGGCATTTTACAATCAAAATTAGGTCATCATAAAATAAAATAAATTGTGATTTTAGCGCTATAATTTCACTAAAGCTTTAATAGACATTTTACAATCAAAATTAGGTCATCGTGAAATAAAATAAATTGAGATTTTGTAGGGCTAAAATTTCACTAGTAGATACCAAACAAGAAGGTTAAAGGCAAGTTGTCGTGTCAATGTTAAAAAATCAAAATTAACAAAATACTTTTACCTTATAGACTTTTTCATTAAAATAAAATTTGAATGCCCTAAAGACTTAATAAAATGATATATTCATGTAATTTTAGATTTTATATGATAATTTACTTACTTGAAAATAAGATAAATAATTAATTATCTAATATATGAGTCACATTGAATTTCTCTAATTAAAGAGACGTTTAATTTTCTAGCTATATGGACTAATATTAACATCCAGCAATTAAAGTAAGAAATAAACATATTATAACATGTTTTGTTTTTAACACTAATCACTAAATACTCGAATAATGTTAAATGGTTTTTTTCCTCCACTAATAGAGGCAAATCCACCAAACATATATTCACGTTAGTCGAAGTTTGAAATTTTTTATCAAACATCCATAGACCTAATGTACTAACATATAAATATAATTTAATGATATAACTGAAAGAAGCTCGTTGATCCACAGACTAATGGTTTGGAAATCACTTTGCATACGTTAGGTTGCATAATTGAAACCTGTCAAGCTTTCACCTATACGTTTTATGTAAAAAAAAATAATAACATAATTGTCAGCTAAAAACAAAATGATGTAGCTCAAACTCGAGCTTTGATCGTTCATGCTCTCAAGGGCCTAAGGGGCACATTGACCCAATGATCTAGTCCAACAAATATGTTTGAGGTATCCTTTTAAAATACATAATAGTTTTTTGAAGTGTACACATATATACACAGTTTTTTTCTCGAAATTAACAGTTGCACATGCACCTCAACCCTTTCACGTTGGTCTGAATCTAATAAACTTTTTACTACTAACACATTAATCCACCAAATTGGTGGCTCATTTTTTTCATTTTATTAGTTATGTTAAGACATTAGATATCTCTCAATAATGAAGCATCTTCACATGACAAAAAAAACTTTCCATTGTGGAAGGAAAAAAAAAGGTGCAACTTATTTGAAAGTGGAGAATACTTTGCTTGAAAATCTTTTCATTTGCATGTGGGAAATGGTTGTTGACTTTATAATTGACAAGCACATTACCCAAACATAATTTTGTAAAAAGGGAACTAGCTAGGGGACCATTGTAATTTGCATAATTCTTCCTTGTGGATCCTTCTTTCCTTTTTTCCTAAAAAAAAGTGCATGAACTTGTGGTGATAGTTATTATCAATGGGTTGGAAAGACAAGTGTTCTTGTCAAGGATATTTTTGGTGATATTGCAATTTGTTTTAGGAAGCTAGTTTGGCATCTCTGCTTTTCTTTTGGTCCACATGTTTGTTGGATTTGAAAGTGATTAGGGCGTTATATGGAAGCTTATAATTGCAAATCATATGGTTGATAAATTAGACGACAAATAAAAGCATACTAAAAACAAATTTAAATTAGGTTTGGTCAAACGACCTACATATTGAAAACTAATATTAAAAAGCATAAACTCTATTGGGAGATTTAATCTCCGCATAAATTGACCTCTTAAATGTCTACATTGTGGATGCTATCATGTTGTGCTATGAAAATAGGGATCTTCAATTTATAGATCTCCAAATTTTTCCTCTAAGAAAATAATAAATCAAATATGGAAGAGATTTATATTTTTCTTTCAGAAAAAATAAAAGCAATTATGGTAATACTTTAATTTTTCTTCAAATGAAAATTAAAATTCAATATGATATAAAAAAAAATCAGGGCAAAACTCTAACTGTTTGTATATTGCAAAAAAAAATATTGATTATGCATTAGAAGAATTGTAATGTACTGGGTATAATTTTATTTGGAAAAAGATAGATTTGCCTATAAATGTTATACTGGTACTTTTAAAAAATAGTTAATTTGAAACTAGATAGAATATAATAGAGAACAATGTAATTTTAATACTCAACAACAACATATCTAGTATAATCCTACGAGTAAGATTTGGAGAGGGAAAAGTGTACGTAAACCTTAAAAGTAGTCATTTCGGATCCTAAACACTAGTCATAACTAGATATAACGATAATCGAAATGTAAAAAACCCTCAAATAATAACCAAACTCAAAGAACAAGAAACTATAAGAGTAATACAATTATTTTATACGACTAATAATAAAAAGGAATAAGGGAGACAACACTCGACTATTTATGAAATATTATTTTGATTATTTATAAGAGAATAATAATAATTTATTTTCAACTTTGAAATTGGGGAGGGAATTTTTCTATTGAGAGAATTTGGACAGAATTTGATTCCCATATGGCCTTAGGCTTGGAAGGTAGGAAATGATGGGAAAAAAGAAGAGAAAAGTAGAAAAGGTGATATAAGCTTGAAAATGGGGGAAAGAACTAGTGGACTATAGGATATTTTTTTAATACATGAGTCAAGCAATTTTTTATTTACTATAATTTTTTTTAAAATATTTTTTTATAAACAATATGATTGGTGTTTTTTAAAAAGTAATGTCTAAATAAAATTTTAAAAAAATGTTTAAAAAATTGATGTCCAAATTCTCACAAAAAAATTACTCTTCTTTCTTTTTTAAACTCTAACTAAAAGTAAGGGTGTCAAGTAAAGATGTGCATTGTATGGTCAGATATTAAATACTATATTGAAATAGAAACTTTTGATATCATGATTTCGATATTATGATATTTGCTAAACATTTTTAAAATGTATGGTATTCAATATTTATTAAAAATATGTCAAACTATTGAATACTGTACCAAAGTAAAAATTTACATATAGAATTCATAAATATTATCATAATACAAATAAATATATATAATAATATTAGTACAAGACTAGTTATTTAGATATTAGAGCTTTGACTACTTATCGGTGATTGATTAACAAATGAAATTGTTTGTACTTTGTTTTGAATATTTCTACATGTGTAAGGTGTAAGGTGTAAGGTGTAAGGATGATATAATTAAGATGTTTCTTCAAAAATCAAGTTTAATTCTCTATTACATATATAAATTGAGATCGATCAAACGATGATTAATTACCAATTTAATGCGCATGCATATATATATATATAGTCACTATTTAGTGCATGGAAACTAAAGAAAAAATAGAGGAAGATAAAATTTGAAAGTTTTCCTCTTTTATTTGATTGAGACAACACAAAATAAGAAAGAAATTTAGGTAAAGGAAACATGGATGATGTATTCATTTAAAGATAGAAATAAAGTAATAACTAAATCA